GTAAAAAATGCTAACATTGCAAATACATAAAAACTGCTAATATTCAAAGTAAACATATTTAGGTGAAGAAACTTTTCCAACTGCTGTTCTATCAGTAATATTTCTTTCTAAAACCACGCACAGAAGTATAAAAAATTCTGGAGGTTTGCTCCTTACAAATTTATGCTACCTTGATATTAGAGAATTACCTTCCAAAATCTTATATCAAGATTTGAGTGTTCCATTTTCAGCAATCTGGTACATTAGATGGTCATAGAATCCCTTCTCAGGGTAGTATAACTAAAAATGGTGGTTACATTTTAAAAAATAATTTAAAAAATACATTTAGTAACGCATAGCTGTACTGGCAGGAAAATAAGGAAAGTCCTCACAGGTCAGGGGAAAAAATATGACTCTTCAGGTGTGAGTGAGCATTGGAGCCAAGTTTGTCTGGGGCTTGTAGGCCGATCTATGTTAGCCTGGGTCCTAGTTTGCAATGGGCCATATAGGCAGGGGTTAGGAAGCAAATCCAAATGCCCCAAACAGGGCAAGAGGGAGGATCAGAGATCATCAATTCCCTCCACCAAATCCAGGATGCCTGATGGGCAAAACCTAAGTGGCAAAAAATAAAAAACAACAACAAAAACCCACTCCTTAGTGGTAGACCATGGGAATACAAGCCATAAATAGGATGGAACCAAAAAAAGAAGTATTTCTAACCTGAAACTTGTCTTCACCAAAGTTTGAGATCTGAATTCATAGACCTGTCAGGCCCTAAAATCTCAAGCCAAAAATGAAGTCTGCAGTGTTCCTGGTGACGGTGCATGCAAGCACCTGGCAGAAGCGAAAAAACATTCTCTCTGGAAGAAAGAGCTTTAAACCAAAGCCTTAAATAATCCATGCAGATAAAGTTCGATTCCAAAGAACACGAGTTCATAATGAGAAAATACTGAACACTGAAGGTAACAAGCCACCATTAGCAAGAATAGCAAACACAGTAGTTCAACAAAACTGAATCACACTGCCCAAGACGACAGACAGAACAATGACTAAACAGAGAGTACAAAGTATTTGTGTGCAATAGATTTCAAGAATAATGGAAGGAATTAAAAGTATGACAAAGGACTATCAAAACTGGCCAGACAAATTTGAAAAATAACTTGAATGCAACCTGAGGTAAAGAAAAACCACAGTAGTTAAATGAGTGCAGTGACAGTGGGAGAGGGTGTAGCTCAGTGGTAGACTGCATGGCTAGCATGCCTGAGGTCTGGGTTCAATCCCACTACCTCCACTAAGGAAAAAAACAAAACCAAAAAAAAGCCCTTAATTTAAACCTCCTCCCACTAAAAAAAGGAACTTATTAACAACAAAATAAAACAAACAAACAAAACTCAATGGCAGTGGTTCTCAAGCTTCAGTGGGTATCAGAATCACTGTGTAAAACACAAGGGCCCGAGCCTCATCCTACTTCGATGAATCTGCTTCTGTAACCTTAACTAGCTCTCTAGGCAATACTGACACATTTCAAATTTTGAGATCTACTGCTCTATGCGAAGTTGAAAAGTAGATTAGTTGTAGCTGAAAAAATAATAAGTTGGAAAAAAATTCTGAAGAAATTACTCCTTTCTTGACTGAAGTGCAGAAATTCAATAGGATAGTGAGTGGTTAAAGGATCTGATGGATACAGAGAGAATCATTACTTCTCTTCTGTCGAGCAAAAAAGAAAAAAGGAAAAAACAAAGAAAGATAAAAGTTTACTAGCAGATTCTCATTAAAGGAACTTGATCCTAGAAGAAACATCTGGGTTGTAAGAAGGAATAGTAAATAAAGTGAAAAATATAGGGTAAATTGAAATGTAAAAACTAGTGACATAAAACAATAACAATAATCTAATTTGTGCAACTAAAAGAATCAAGATGAACTAAAATACTGGACTATAACGGCACTCTCCAATATTTTGCTATTAAAGCATCTATGTACTTATTTTCTACATATAGGGTAGTAGAATTACTGGATTAAAGGCTATGAACAATGGCCAAAGCTCCATATTATAAAATTATTTTCTAAAGTTGTTCTACCAACTTACAGTCATACAGGTAACATGCAAAAACGTTCCTTTTGTTGAAGCCATGACTAGTCTAGAGTATTGCTATATTTAGTGAAAACTTCAAGAAGATAAAGGATGGTTCATTCAGAAGCACCAGGATGAACAGCACTTGTCATTTCTGTCAGGAAGTCAGTTACTTCAGAAGATTTCCTGTTTAGGATTGTTTATTATTTCCATCCGTCGCATTGCCATAGAAACAGTCAAAGCAATTGTGTTTGATAAGAAATGTGTTCAAATTCCTCATCTCTGACTACCTCTCTATAATACCACAGTTCTGAGAAATTAAAATTTCCCAATGTTCGTATAATTATTTTAAAACCTTGTGTTGTTTAATACTTTCTGTTCTAAAGTCTATCCATATGGAGACTTTGAAAAATCTTTTTGTGGTATGGTAGGAGTCAAAATTAAAATACTTCATTACAAAGAAGATTTCTGTAGTTCTTAAAATATGAAAAAGTTTATTGGTGAAAAAGGAAAGCAGAAAATATGCTTGGTGCCTGATCAATTCTCCCCAAATATCATCTTTAACATCTAACTCCCTCATTCACTGATTGAGATACTGCTATGGAGTATATTGGTTCAGAATCTTAAATATAAGCCTACAAATAGTTTTATAATATAGTATGTTTTTCACTTTAAACTTAAGTCTGTTAGAAAGAAAGAAGCAACTGTTCTTCCATAGTATATTATTAGACTCAGCAGGAAAATGTGACTAACATTATTATGTTAAAAGTGTGTTCTGAGTAATATGTCATGTTGCTAGTTCCTGTTCTACAAGCTATTTTTAGGACTCCTTATCCATTTTGAATGGGAAGAGCTGCCTTTCATTTCTTTTTTTCTTTCAGTTTCTTATGGAAATATAATGACATACAGCACTGTATAAGTTTAAGGTATACAGCTTAATAATTTGACTTACATACATCATGAAATGATTATCACAATAAGTTTAGTGAACATCCATCCTCTCATATAGATATAAAACTAAAGAAATAGGAAAAAAATTTCTTTTTGTGATGAAAATTCTTATCATTCATATATAAAATACAGCAGCGTTAATTATATTAATCATGTTATACATTACATCCCTAATTATCTTTCTTATTAGCTGGAAGTTTGTATCTCTTGACTGCTTTCAACCAATTCCCCCTCCAGATCACTCCTGCAGGCAGAATTACCTTTTCATATTTTAATAGATAATGGGTTCTTATGTTCTTACTTTATGATATCCGAAGAGTTTCAGAAGGTCATTAGAATAGCATAAATGAAGTTTATTTTTTTCCAGTACAGAAAACTGGAAAATACATTATGTAAAGTATTAGGAAAAAGTCATCAATAGTCTTACTAGCTAAAGATATGTACTATTAAGATGTTGCTGTATTATATAATACAATCTTGTATTCTAGACATGACTGTTCTAGGTTTTATAAACTTAGTTATAATAATATTGGACAGAATTGTATAGGCTTTCTCCCCTTCCATTTTGAAAAAGCTAATTTTCTCCAAGTATTGTTTCAAATGTGTATGACGTCACAAACAGGGATTAGTATTGTTTAGAATCATTCTACAGGATAAAATGTTTTTACAGATGTTAGTACACATTTTTAAAGGAAGAAAAAGCTCACATTATTAGATGTGGATATATTCCAGATTTGAACGCTCTACAGACACAAAATGATTATAGCTTTCCTTGCCACACAAAATGTTGACAATCTTTCCTTTAAAATTATAGGCTGCTTTTTAAATTTATCATAAAGCATTTTCTTTTATTGCAAATTCTTTGCAAATATTTTAATTGGTGCACGATAGGAAGTTCAGCAGATGTATATGACATTTCTCTTCTGTGCTGCATGCTTCCCTGGATTGCTCATTTACATTTATGAATGAAAAAACAAGGCTTCTTGGTTTCCTCTGACAATTCTGACTCTCCTTTGAAAAATGAACTGGTTGTTAAGCACTCGCATGTCAATAGACAGGCTTCATTTTAGGGTGAGCAGATAGGAATCAGGCAGGCTGACAGCCAAGCTATCATCTACACCAAAGCCCCTAACAGAAAAATAAAACAAAACTGGGGACTCCTCTCTAGAGCACTAACCCTCATTTGAAGCCATGACTTCTTTGAAACAGATCATTTGCCTTTTTAGAGTACTCTTGACAGCCTCCGATCTGGGGCAAACACCACTGCTATCCAGGCGTGTCAGAAACCAATCCATGCAGTTCACCTACAGCTGAAGTCTTCCATCAAACATCTTGATTTCTCATCCTCTTCTCACTTGTACCCTCCATTACAGACAATCACAGGGGATTCCATTGTGAAAAAAAAGTTACCACTTGATTTCTAGCCAAGACTGTGGAGTAGTAGAATCACGAGCTCGCCTCTCCTCGCAAATACAACAAAACCACAACTGACTGCTAAACAACCACTGGGAAAAAAGACTGGAGCCTAACAAAAAAGATCTTCTTCAACCGGAAACATAAAGAGAAACCTCGGCAGGTTGGTAGGAGGGCCATGCTCGCTATATAATCAGGCCCCGTATCCTCCAGGTGGGCGACCACAAGCAAAAGAATAATTAAGTTGCAGAGGCCCTCCCACAGGAGTGAGAGTTCTGAGCCCAACGTCAGCCTCCCCAATCAGGGTTCCAGCATTGGGAGGAGGAGACCCCAGGACAACTGGGTTTGAAGGCCAATGGGGCTTAACTCCAGGAGCCCCATGGGACTGGGGGAAATAAAGACTTCATTCTCTTGGGA